AAAATTTCGGAAAAAATTTAGAAAAATGGGGCATTCCAAAAATGGCAATAACTCCCTCCTATTCTCTTCAAAACCTATAAATAGGCCCCCTTAGGCTTTTAGAAAAATTACACCTTCTTTCTCTCCCTGATCGGATTAGCGCCCCTCTCGTACAGAAGTTTAGGGGATTTCTCCTCCTCCCCCGGCTCTCTGACAGTTGAGGCTTCCGCTTTTTGCGAGTGGGAAATTTCCCCTGCTCGGATTAGCGCCCCTCCTCTCGTGCAGAAGTTTAGGGGATTTGTCCTCCTCCCCCCGGCTTTCTGACAGTTGAGGCTTCCGCTATTTGCAAGTGGAAAATTTCTCCTGCTCGAATTAGCGTCCCTCCTCTCGTGCAGAAGTTTAGGGGATTTCTCCTCCTCCCCCCAGCTTTCCACCCCTTTCTTTTCCCGTTCTGGGGGCTTTCTGCTATCTTTTGTAGGAGATCTTCCCTACTTAGAATTGCACCCCCTTTAGTGAGGCAATCGAAATGGTTGATTGCACTTCTACCAAAGATGTTTCCGTTGTAGAAGATCGTCCTACTGCCTGTTCAGAGGGTTCGAAGAAGGCTCCTAAGGCGACAAAAGCTGACGACGTTATTTCCACCATTACTGAAGATTCTTTCATCTCTTTTAGAAAAAAGTTTCATTTTCCTAATGATTTGGTGATGAAGGTGCTGGCGAGATCTGAGCATGCCTGCTTCCCTCCCCAGGGATACGTGACAGTGTACGAGTTTAGTTTGCGAGCGGGGTTGCGATTTCTGCCGCCTTCTGAATTGATTGATATCCTGACGACTTGCGGATTGAGTTTGTCTCAATTTTCCTATCGGGCTATGTCGGTCGTAGTGGGACTGATTGCATTTTTCAGAGACCGCGGAGTGGTATTGTCTGCAGAATGCCTATCCCGAATGGGGCGTATCTATACTGATCTGCAGGGCCGAATCTCCTTTAGATCCAAGTGGTTGGATATTCGTACTCGGGATCCATCCAAAGATTGGGTTAGTGATTTTTTCTTTGTGCAGAATGATTGGGGCCTCCAAGAAAGATGGGGAAAGTTGAAGGAGCTACCTATCCCCCTTCATATCGGAGGGGAAGGCTTGTTGAGTATGTTGAAGCTTCATGATATTGAAGCTCTTCGTTATGAGATGCGCTCTCTGAGCAGATGCATAGACGAGGAATATTTATTCACGCATGTAGGGAGGTCGCATGCACAGAGGTTGAAGATATCTGCAAAAGTCTCGGAGGCCCAAAAAACTCAATCCAAGCGACCTGAGGGCGAGGGAGATTCACAGGCACTTAAGAAGTCGGACGAAATCTTGTCAGTTGCCGGCAAGGGTCCCCGTTTTTCTCCGTCCAAATATATATTCTAGAGGATGTTCTGAAACATAGGTGCATTGGTCATCGACGAGCCGAAGAGTTGGTGAGTTCACCTTCTCTATTTCCCTTGTATTTGTGTCTAATTTCAAGGATATACTTTTTACTTGTTGATTCTTTTTTGAACAGTTCCTTGAGGTGAACAAAATCTTGGATGACTGGAACGATGAATTCGTGAAGGTCAAATACCTTCAGGGAGAATACAAGAAGAAATACGACGGCAGAGTGAAGGAGGTGGAGACGGTGGATAGTCAACTCGATCAATGCAGAACAGAATTGGCGAACAAGATCGCTTCAGCCTCTTCCCAGAATGAGCGGATGTATCGTTTGAATATACAGTTGGTGGAAGCAGAGGCAACAAACAACCAACAACTGAAAAATACGCAAATCTTCGAGGCTGAGAATAAGAAGCTCCTGAACAAGTTGTCGGAGAAGGTAGCTCAACTGTCACCGTCTGCAGCCGTAGAGGAATTCAAAAAATCTCATGCTTTTAAGATTTTTGTCGAGGATCAAGTTCAGGAAGCTCGCGATTATTTTTATGACGTAGAGGTGAAAGACTTTAGAAGCAGAGCTTATGCAAGATGGCTTCATTAAAGGCTTCATGAAGGACGTTCGTGCAGTGCAACGCAAGAACGGAGGGGAGATCGAGGGGTTGACTCCGAGCCAAGCTTCTGGTGATCCTTCTCCAGATTCTGGCGGTCAAGAATTGGAGAGTGATTTGCAAAAGATCTTCGCGTTGGAAGAGGACGACGATGATGATCTTGAGATTCTGTAGAATTGTTTTGATGCTTTTTGTGTTACTTTTTTTTTGTTGCAGTGATTGTACGTATGTTCCTACTGTTCGTGTGTTGTTATTTTTGGACGATGTATTTGATGTTTGTGGGTTTTTTATATATAAAAAAGACAATTTTCTTTTTCATATATGTTAAATTAAATGTTAAGGTAGTCTTTTTGACTTGCACGAATGCGAGAGACATCTGCTTTGTGACACTCTGACCTATCCGAGGTTGTTAATCAAAGCATTCCCTTAATGATTTTAACCTGTATGGAAGAGGTCGAACTAGATCCCCATGGGATTAGTCGCCTATTGATTGAGATACAACATTAGTTGTGTATTTCTCGAATCATAGGAAAAAGCTCGAATATAAGAGACAATACAATCACAAAGCAATCATCACATTACTGTATTATATAAAACAGTACGACAATTCCCTAGTAAACTTAGGGATACAAAAAGGAGTGTTCTTTTACAATCAACATACAAAGAGTGTACGGGAAACTTAAAAGATACAACGCATGACTACAAAGCAAAACAAACATCACGAACGACATCACACTAAACTGATAACAACATCAACTCCTACTGATAGTACTTGCGAAGGTTGCCCGCATTCCAAGTTCGGGGAAGCATCTTTCCATTCGCATCTTTCAATTTGAAGGTCCCAGGCTTGACCATAGCCGCCACCAAGTAAGGACCTTCCCATAGGGGGAAGAGCTTATTGCGTTGAGGGCCTTTCCCAGCAGCTTCGATGCTTCGCAGAACTAAATCCCCAATGGAAATAGTTCGAGGTTTTATTCTCCGATTATAGTGTCGAGCGATCCATTGATGGTATGCAGCGACCCTGAGTGAGGCTTCATCCCTTGCTTCAGGGAGGAGATCTAGATTTGTCCTGAGTTTCTCCTCGTTGTTATTGAAGTCAGAAGTCTGAACTCTGTTGCTTAGGACTCCAATATCCACTGGTATGACTGCTTCTGTACCGAAACAGAGGTTGAACGGAGTTTCTCCTGTAGGAGTTCTGGCCGTGGTACGGTAAGCCTAGAGGACAATTGGGAGTTCTTCAACCCATTTCCCCCCAGCCTTGCCTAGGCGTGTCTTCAGCCCTTTCAGAATTGTTCAATTTGTAACCTCCGTTTGCCCATTTGCTTGAGGATGGACGACAGCCGTGTGGACGAGTTGAACGTGAAAATCTTTACAGAAAGATGTAAAGATTTTTCCAGTAAACTGAGTTCCGTTGTCGGTGATGACCTTTGCTGGAATACCGAAGCGACAAATTATATTCTTCCATAAGAATTGTTTGGCATTTGCTTCAGTAATTTTTGCCAAGGGCTCTTCTTTCACCCATTTTGTGAAGTAATCTACAGCCAGGATGATGAATTTTCGTTGTCTTGTGACTATTGGGAAGGGTCCCATTATATCAATTCCCAACTGGGCGAAAGGCCAGGGGCTTTAAAGTGATGCAAGTTCCAGAGCTGGAGTATGGGTGAGATTGAAATGCAATTGGCAGTTCACGC